GAAGCGACGGCTGCCGGGGTTTAGGAGGTCATGACCCCCGGAGCACTGCTGGCAAGGTCCAAACTTCCTCTGCAGGGACACATCTGCAGCCAGCTGCGGCATTAAACGCTACTGTCGCCGAGGGCGCGTTGTCCTCAAACAACAAAAGGAAAAAAAAAAAAAGTAATCCGGGGACTGGATCAAAGGAAGGCACAGAGAGCGCGCGATCCAGGTCAGGCGTTGACAACCTCCGCTGCGGCAGGGACGCGACACCCAACACCGGCCGACTCAACCCGTCTCACAGCAGCTGTTCTGCAGCACGCCAAACGCTTGTCCTGCTCCCTTCGCTCAACATGCTTCATATCATGTAACAGGCATATACCACTTCACATCCTGGGGAACGGAGGGAGGGAGGAGGACTGCATCATCAACACATGCTGCCGCGCTCTTGCTGCTTTCAAAGATTACACAGGTCCGGTGGGTCAGCGTTTCCAGTGTGAGGTGTGTAAAAATTGTACGATTTTTTTTTACCAACTGCTGAAAAACAAAATAAAAAATAAATAAATCTTTGACTGTTCCTTCCTCAAGAGAGTTATGGCTTATTTATTTGACAAGAGCCTCGCCTTAACTAAATCACCTTTGTCCCATGACTCATTTCCTGTTTGACTTTTAAAAACTACAGAGCGACTTAAAGACGTAAAGACAGATGTAGATTTGTTTAATAAAGAAAACATCTTGATATATAAAAAACTATTAAGAATATTATAGTCCAAACAGTTTTGTAAGTTTGTCTGCTACGGTAAATAAAAAGTGAGGATTAATTTTAACAATATTTGATTAGGAGGTTGACTGCTGAATTAATAATTAACATTTAATTTCTGTGTTGAATTTGGATGAGCGACTGATCTTTGGCTACGGCAACCAGAGGTCGATTTCAAATCAGAATAAATTTTACTCTCAGAATCACTCATTATAAATAATTTGTAAGAACTTATCAAATATAAAATGCAACAATTTTAATTGAAAAAAAGTCAAGTAAGAAACAAAATAATATAAAACTGAGACTCAAATTGTTCATCTCTGAACAACCTGCAACATGCTCACTTGTTTCTTTATTCAACATGCCTGACACCTCTGCCATTAAACATTAATGACAAACATAAAAAATGATTTAATAGACAGAAAATTACACAAATCAATCCCTCATTTATTTGCTCAATGTCATATAAATCAGCTGCATGATTAAAAAGAAAAAAAGATAAAATTGGTTAATATTGCAATGCTTATTTACCAATCAGTAAAGGGTGTTAATGTTTTTGGATGTCATAGGACTTCTATTTCCAGACACGATTTCTGCTCTTTTGACATTAAAACTTAAATTTAGAGGTTAAGTATTGGTTTGTAAAGGAAGCTAAATTGAGTGCCACATCCAGAGGTTTTAACAAGTTTTATAGCAGGAGGACAATATATGAATTGAGCAAAGTAAGATAAATCTGCAGCCAGGTGCTTGGAAATGCTTATATTTCTAGACAGTTCATATTTTTATGTCGTCAGACTTGTTAACTTATATTACAGCAGTAGAGGACAGTAAAATGATGTGCATAGTAGGACCGGAGGACACTCAGGTTGTTGTAGATGACTCTAATCACTTGCCAAGTGCTCTGCCAGGAAGGGAAAAACAGCTGAGCGAGACAGGCAGAGCAAAACCGACAAAGGAAAACACACTAGTATGACTGGCACATAACCACTGGTCCCACCTCCCTGTGCCTCTCTTCTGTAATAAAGTGTCATCAGAGGTCGCTTTCGACAGCGAAAAAGCCGGAGTTTGCAAGCGCGTTCTCTCTGAGAGGGTCGGCCGGTCTCCCTGCAGGCTGATGTGACAGCCTTCACTCTAATTATGGCTCTGCTCCGTTTCGCTGCTCCACATAAGAAATGACAGTTCAGACGGTTCAAAGTCAAACCTGCACACAGCGGCACAAGAGCCGCGGAGTGGAAAACTCATTCAAACAAACAAAACGCGCATTTACTTTTTTTTTTTTTTTTTTTACACACCGAGTCTGTTAACATCTGACAAATGAGTTTAGAGCGCTTCCCTTCCCATGAGCGAGTTTTTACAGTTGTGCTTTGTTAACATTTATTGGTGCTAACTTGCAGTTTGACTTTCCTTGCTTTGATTGTTAAGACTCGAGGTGATTTTTGTTTTTTTGTTGTTGTTGCAGCCAAATGTTGGAGATGACGAGGATAAACATAAAAAACCCATCAGGACAGACTCAAATAATGCTACATTAAAAAAAACACTGAATAAAAAGACAATAATAAATCTATTTCCATGTTGTGGCACAAAGTTTACAGTCGAGTTGAAGTTTGGGTATTTCAATATGAGTTGTCTTTTCTAAATTGACATAACAGGACTGGGCTTGGCATAGGAACAATTTTTGCTGGATGATAAATTTTCCCAAAAGTTATCGCAATAAATAATGTTTTGAGCCCATTTTCTAGTAATATCATGATAATGGCATAATAATGCAAGAACATATTCTCAGAGATCAATAAACTTTAAATTCTAACTAACATTTAAAACTGGAAAGGGAAATTTTAAAATATCCATAATAAACCAACAGAAACAACAAATAAAATGAACCATGAAGAATCTGTAAACAAAAATGTCTTACAAAACATAAGCTGGTTGAGACCAAAGCACCAGACTGAAGACTTTTCTCACCTTAGAGGAAAACGATAAGTATAAGTGATGCAAATGGAAACCAAACTCGTTTTAATTTATCATGCAAATTTATTGTTTATTGTCCTATATAGGAGTGGAAATCTTTCTCAGCTTCCCGATTTATAATGCTATGATTAAAACATGCAGTTTGTTGTGTTTCCAAATATTTTCCTTCAGTCGTACACAGCCTGCGTACAGCGTGGCGCTTGTCCAAGCTGTTTCTGCTTTAATACAGAGGGTGAATGATGTGACCTTGTGTTTACCATAAGCTGTCCCCTCTGCTGCGCTTACGCACTTCTGAGTTACCTATTTCACTTTAGTAAACTCTATGTAAAATGTAAAATAAATAATGAAAGGTCTCGTCACTCAGGGAACACACCGTAGAATTAGACTGAATAGATTTGCTCATGGATCGGGAACATTGTCACCAATACCCAATATAGAATTATTTTCAGTATTGGGACCGATACAGATATTGAATCAGTGCTTTTTCACATTACCATGTTCTCTGCATGTTCTGCTCAACATCCAGGTCCTTTATGTTTGCTTTCTACTAACAATAATATGCTGCAAACATTGCCACCCTAACCTAATAACATGTGTGTGACAACCTTTGCTTACGATTATTAGGTAAAACAGGAAGTAATTTGTTGAACACCTGCCCGGGAGCTTATGACCTGCTTTGGGTCACCAGTGAAACCATTATTTTCTCTCAGTGCAAAGAGCCGCTGCTTATGTTTCTAAAATGATATTCCTAACCATATTAAATTGGGCTTTTCATTATATGATGACATTCAATATTTGCACTGGTGTATTAGATGAAATCAAATCTTGCATTTGATCACACAGGAAACACTGCATTTAGAAAAAAAAGAAGAAAAAAAACCAGCTCAATGCTGTTGTATGCAGCTGACTCATTTTACCGCCTGCTTCACTTGACTGTCTGTGAAAGCTGCACAGCACAAGAGGAGAACAAGAGCGAGTTGGGTGGGTGTCTCATTCTATTCATTGATGCTGCAAATTCTCAAAAACAAGCAAGTCTGTTGAATGAGATGGAGAGGAAGAAAAAAAAAGACCCAAACATGCTGCAAGTTTCATTTCAAACATTTAACCGTCAGCAAATCTTTAGCATCAAATGATATGAACTTGAAATGTCACAGAGAGATTTGTTGCAAAAGGAGCAAGTTCAAGCACAGAATATTTACCAAGTGGCAATAAGAGGAGAGGGAAAGATGGTCAACAAAAATCCAATCATTTTAGGTGGAGTTTCCATTACTGGTCTGATGGTTACCAAAACTAGCAAGGACACGGACTCAACCTGAACAGGAATATCTGAACTCCATCTGATTAATTTAATTGTATTCAAGAAAGGTTCTTGAAATCACTGATGGAGAAAACAAAGGATGGGGATTAGAGATGCACCAGTTGCAGTTTTCTAATCGATCACTGATATTTCAAAGCCTGACCTGCTGATTCAGATTGGTCGATTTTCACACCTTTGCAGAGGCAGATGAGATCGGTTTCACATGCAAGTATCAGCCGATCATAGATCACCCGCAATTCAAGAAATCTGCGTCGATTTATCAGTGCACCACTCTTATTTTTCTCTAAATATTGGTCAAATGTAAACGCCATGTTACGTATAATGAATATATCATTTCATCCAAAAATAAACAGGATTTGTAACACTGGTAAGACAGTATGAACTGCTGATTGTTCTTATTCATTTTGTTTAAGTTTTACTTAAATTATAAAAAATATATTTAAATATAGAGTAGAAAAAAAGGGGGTTATCCAAGAGTACATATTGCCTTTTAGTCTAGAAAACCTGGAATCAAAGAAGACACTTTATGTAGATCCATATTACAAAATAAAGAAATATATAAGACACAAGGTCAGATACCATCTACTAACATCTCTATAACTAAGTGGTAAATGTACACATTTAGCCATCATTAGCTTCCATTATTTGCAGGACTTTTCATTCCAAAATGAATCAGTCCAGGATTGGAACCATTCTTCACTTTGATGCATTGCTAATGCCCCAAATCCTACTTAGCACATGAAAGAGGAGCAAAACGTCAGAACAGAACAGGGTATGATGAGGGTAGGCGGGGGGTTGGTGGCCTTATCAACATTACATAAGCTCTGTGTCCTCTTACGGCATTTTAATGGGGCTTGACGTTTTAGAGGGCAAACTGAAGATTCTGCTTCACGTTAGAAAAATGAAAATTGGCAACCAAACAAACAAAAAAAAAAAAACCCACAAGACATCCACGGTTGAACGACTGTTGCTTACCTCCAGAAATGAAAGGCGTGCAGTGGGCTGCACGGACTGCAGGGGCTAGTGGGAGTGGGGCTCAAGCTTCGGGGAGTGAGGCTGTAAGTTAAATGAGTGCAGTGAATAGTTGTCCTTTATCACATACAGGACAGTCAGACCGCCACAAACCGCCGCCACCGCGCAGCTCTGACATGAGCCAAAATGAAGATGGCAGCATCACCAAGAGTAAATGATCCCTGTCAGACCAATCTAATTGTGTTTGAGGAGCAGGTTCCCGAGGCATTCGTCTGGTTTCTGCAGTGTTTGGTTGACATTGAGCCTGTGGGCTGTGCCAGACTAAAATGACAGCAGGCAATAAAGAGCACCTGTTAAAAAGGCGAACGGTCATAAAAAGGAGTTAGAAATTGACCTAAGGTTGACGAGGAGGTTGCAAGCAGAGTTGTTCCTGCTTCTGCGATCACAAGGAAAGCTTTTACCTTTTACCGTGCGAGGTCATATGTTTAATCTCTGCTTCAGCTGGACTGCCAGCAGCACTGCAGAGCAAAGGTGAGTTACTTTTACTGCAGTGGCTTCCATTCATCAAATAGTAAAATGTGGAAAGAGCCCAAAGCAAACCAGACAAATAAGCCAACAGTAACATGATAATAAATGACTTAATTTAGGGAATAATTTGAGAATTTTCATAACGATTTTAGTGCGATGCTAAGGAGACCTCTCATTGTCAGTGATTTTACTGAACGCAGTGACATGTTTCAGCAACATGCCAGGCATTTTCCTCTATGTTTACCTTGAGTCAAAAGAACATCTTGCTTGAACAGTCAACATACCTAAAAATAAAAATAGTCCCCTTACAAGTGCAGCTTTTCCATTTCTTTTAAAAGATATAATTGTGATTAAAAACTGACTGACAACTAGAGGACAATTTTAAAATATTACTGTTACAGATCCACCGAGAAGTTTGTTGCGTTCGGCTTGATTTGCTCCAAGTGATGATCAGAAATTAAAAAGAAAAAAAGTTAAACCTAAGCTCCATCAAACTGTGCATTCAACAACACTCTTTAGTGTAGATGTTGTTAGTGAAGGAAGAAACTCAAAGTTTGACATTTTTGGCAATAGGAAGCCATTTAAAATAAAATCAGAGGAAGCGCAGAAATGCAAGACACATTTTAAGTGAGAATTATTTTCTCTGACATGTTGAGACATTTCTGTGCTCCATTCAGGCTGCAACAGACCAAGAGAAAATGCAGCATTCAGTGGATACCAGGAAGGTATGAGAAAGTTGCTTTTTTAAAATAATTTAAAGTTTAAACTTTAATCCATCCTGGAGCATGTTGGATTTGGGAATGCTGGAAGCTTTCTGGGAATGTAACAATATACATCTGACATCGCCTGTGCTCTAAACCTAAATAAAATTAAATCTCTACAACAGGAAGGCTAGAATGAGTATTTGTGTTGTTCTTGTTAGATCCTATTTTAGCTCTTAAAGAATCATTTGAATCAATTAAAAGCCATCAGTTGGTCAAAGCTTAAAAACATGGAGATGAGAAATTGATCACAAATTCTGATCGGTGGATCTCTATTATTGTTAATGAACCGTTTTTTATATTTTCAGTATTCACAAATATACTAAGGCAGATGATACGTGTCAGAAAAGGAATATTGTTAGTTTTGGTCCCTCAGTGTGGTTTGTTGACAAAAAAAAAAAATCAAATACTACCATGGCAACACCGCAATAAATTAATAAAAGGACGATGTTCAGTGAGCACAATTTGCTTAGACACAAAGGTAAGAATGTGTTTGCCAGTTCTCATTGTCTATAGGGAAAAGAAGTGGGTTAGAACATTTTGTTTAATGACTGAGTTACTTTAGTATCGGCCCAAAAATCTGCATAGAAATAACGTCATTCAGCAATCCAATTGGCTCAGCTGCAAAATTTAAACCCTTAAGTACGGAGAACCATGACAAATGCCTCGGTGACCCAAATAAAACATGTATTGAATCGTGCAAAACGGCACAGTCTGTGATAAAGCTGCCAATGTAAACACACAGTCTTCAGTAATTCACCGCTTCCCACCTTATTGATCACATGCAGGCATGTTTTTTTTTCCCTAACATGTGCGTTATTTTGTCATCACTCACGCCTGCGAATTAAGCCACTCCTTTATGTTATTTTGTCCACGAAATACACGCATAAAAACCTCAAACTGCAGAAACATGCATGCAGACTCAGATACGCAGGCAGGCTGCTGCTGCCTAGGTGGGGAGGATTTGACATTAGACTTCCTGCTGCAGATGCTGCTGCTGCTAATGCTAACACTGCCTAGAGCAGAAGGCAACAGTGAAAAGACAGCAACAAATCTGACATAGACACATGAAGCTACAAATAGGAGTTGCCTTGAATAAGAGGAAAGAAAATACTCACTCCAGCGTCAGCCCAGGAATTCTCAGTCTCTCCCGCTGGGCTTTCATGGCTGAACTGTGCTCGTTTGCTCTATTGTGGTCATGATATGAATTCACGCTGTCTGCCTGCTGCCAGCTCCCACTACCCCCCACCCCCCCACTGCACCGACAAAGAGACAAACCCAGCCACCACAGTGCAATCAGACCGATTGGTTTCCTCTTCCCCCCGAGAAGAAGGGAGGGGGACTACAATCCTTGTTTTGGTGTTTCCATGTTCCACCTTGAAGCTGTCAAATGAGATCCTCATATGGCAGAGAAAGGCATGGAGGCAGGACAATACCCCCTTCTTCCCTCCCCTAATACACGCCCCCGTTCCTTAATACCACTGACCCCCCTTCCACCCCCACCAGCTGGTGGTGTGCTCCATGGCAGAAATTCATGCAATACACTGAAGTGCTGCTACGTGCAGTCACCTTGACAGCCGCTAACATGAGGCGCGCAGTGCACAGCACAATGTTGCCACAACCACAGGGATGATGTCATCTCCGACAGAGACAACACGGCGCACCGCTAACGAGTCAGCGTCCGCATGAGGGGCGAGGGGGACAGGCAACGGCACAAACAAAAACAAACTTGGGAAAAACTAAAACAAAAAGGTAAAAAAAAAATAAAATAAAATTTATGAGAGTGTACATTGTGATATTTCAAAACTCTAATGTCCTAAATCAGCTCAGATTCTTTTCTTTCAGATTTCTTCAATTGAATCGTTTCACCTAAACAGTAAGTAGATGAACAAACATGATTGGTAGCTGTTCTGTTCAGATGTGCAGAAGTTACAGAAATCTTTCTTTAATAGTAGAAAATTAATGAGGCACAAATTTGGATGTGCAACGATGCCACTTGACAAAATGTAATGATTTACAGTGTTGTGTTTTTTTTTTATCATTTGTATTTCTGTGTTTTTATGATGCACAGCATTATGATTTGTGGCAGAAATGTATTACAGAAAAACTTGATTGAAGAAATCAAACCATAAAAAAACTGAAGTAGTGATCTCCTGTTTTCATTTCTGAAAATATTAAAAAGCCTAAATAATCTGTTGGGGGGGGAAAAACCTAAGAAATTTTTGAATGTTTTTTTCACAGTTTTTTACAGATTATACTCTTAAATAAACAGTAGCAAAGTAGAATATTAAACCAAAATAATTTAATAAATTAACTTAAGCAGGAACAAGACATTTCTAAGAGCAGCTGCGCTGTAATCTGGGCCAGATCTGGGACTTCTCTACCCGACCAACTCAGCAAACACCTCAGAAATCTGGATCTGTAGAATCAAAACATGCAGATTCACAGTTACATGTGAGTCTGGAACGAGTTTTCCAAATCACTTTTTTTTTTATATTGGAAAAACCATGATATACATGCAGAAGGTTAAAGTGAGCTGCTCATAAACCAATGTCAGTGATTTCAAAATCAACCTTACTGATCTATTGTTGTAAAGCAGCAACAGGAACATTAAGACCCAAATGGGTTAAATTGCATCAATGACTCAGAGGCAGATAAGCATGCTGACGTACGAAATGCTGAACGACCAAAGGAGGAGGTCGTTATAGATTTATTTCTCCCCTTTGCCCAGTTTATAATTAGTAATTTCCAGAAAGTGTAACAGAAAGCTGAGGTTAAAATAATGCAGCAATGGAAAAGAAACTAAACCTGAAGAAGAACTTTGACCTTCTGACTTTTCAATTGTATGAAAGACAATAAGCTGTAAACAGTAACCAGAGCATAAGATTGCTTACGCACTAAATATTCAGTTCCTATCTAGCTGAAACTTAAACTTAAAAGTTTTATTATCCCTGTTTGCTGTTCAAAATTATTGAAATTTAACTGCCACACATCCAATTACATTAAAGAAAACTAAAACTATGAATTAATGCAAGACTTTTACCAACACAACACTAAGTTGTCAATACTATATACTCGAATGTAAACCTGAAGCGTTATAGTGTTTTCACACCTGATGGCCCGATAGATTTTGTTCAACTGGGGACCAAAATCGCAACATTTGCTACATTTTCAGCTGGCGTTGTTTGCTTCCAGGTGAAACTAACAAAACCCTTTGAAAAACCTTTTCACTCCCAACCTGTGGGGGGCGCTGCACCAAAAAATATATGAGGCAACAACACAAAAACCTATGACAGAGAGAACAACTTCCTTCTTCACAAAATGTAAATGAAAATGGAGTCTCATAGATTTTAGCGTTTGTAAAATCCGTCTGTTGTCTTTGGCAGAAAACCATGATTCATGTCATGTGAAATTAAAGCTCTCATACAGTCTATAGCTTGTTTCCTGCTTTTGGTGCGGTCTCCAGTCTGCTTGCATTCGCATTTCAAGCACAACAGAGGTCACATTTTTGGAACAAATCCAAGTTCAATTAAAGTGGACTAAACAGGGCTGGTGTGAACACAACTTCAGACTCTGAAAAATTAGCCCAAACTTTCCACAGTGCAATAATTCTGAGAACTTAAATCCCCTGAGGTGCTGATCGTCTCTTCCAGGTTATGTTGCTGATAAAATAATACCGGACCAGACTTTTTATAGTCTGAAAGTCCTGCAGTTATACTCGGTCCCTGCCTTTGTCTATGACAGGTGCTTCCTGTGTCAGAGCAATGTCAAAAGTCCAAAAGAAGCAACAGATTAATCCTCAACAAACCAAGGAAGTTAATGATGCCATCAGATATCTTAAGATTTTAATCTTCAGTTGGAGAGTGTGTTTAATTTATTGTGCAGCTGTACTGATAACTAATCTTCTGCCTCCATTTGTGCAAATCAGTGCAACAACATTACTTCCTTTACACGAACACTGGCCAAAAATGTGATCATCAGGCTTGGCTAACTTGAAATATGGCTGTGAATGCTGTTGGCAGCTGCTAAATCACTGAGTTCAAGGCTCTTTGGAGAAGCAGGTGTAACCTTAACAGGTTCAAAACAAGAAGAACTTTAGGATGATTGATTGTCAATTAGTCCGTAATGACAAATCACAAGAAAACACAATCCATAGATACAACTGCAGCAAAAGGTGTCAAAGGATTTCACCAGTTTAACAGAGTCATTAAACTTAACAAAAGTTGAGGCCTTCCTTGTTGACCAGCAGAATTACAACTAAAACAGAGATCACCTTTAAAAATCCAGAAAAATGACAACGTACAGTAGTTTGAATCAAATGGGATTATAAAATAAATTCATTTTATGTTATAACTCACTGCTTCTGATGAAGATAGACATGAAGGACGATGACTCAGCTGAATTTCATTAATAAGATTTAATTAATGTGATTCATAAAACCTCTGATGACTCACTCGTAGAAGTGGATATCCTCTATTGAAATAGTAAAGTTTGATAACTAGTACTCCAACTTTATCAAGATATTTTCATAGGTTTCACAAAGCGAGCCGATACTAAAGTAAAACATTTTAAAAGGCACCTGACCATATAAAGAAAACTTTAAACCATATGAGAAACGGCATATTGTAAAACCAATGGTTTAATTTTTAAACAACGTACAGTCACAATAAACGGATAAGGCTGAGGTTTGACCACTCAATAAAACTTTTCCCTGACAATGAGATACTACTGGTGTGTAAGGAGCATTGCAGTTTGTTTTTAAGAAAATAACTAATGAAACAACTGAAGCTAAAGCATTCAGGATAATACATATATATTAATTCGTCAGGAAAATAAGTAGCAATAGGACAGAGCAGACCGTGATTTCAACAGCATTTTCTGTCAACTACAACAACAAAACAGTGGAAGTCAATACAGGTTATTAAAACCAACCAAGTACGGCATCATCTGCAGAGATCAGGTTGATGAAGCTCAGCTGACTGCATCTGTTAAACTGGATGTAAGATCATCCACAGTGAGCAGATCGTCTTTAAGATCCAGTTACAATGGAATGTGTTGGTGGGGAAGAGAGTAAGCCCCGAGTTTGACCAGCGTAATGTTAGTGCTGATGACAGGAAATGAGATCAGAACTGATAGTCAACAAACAGATTGAGTTGTTGGGCTTAAAGCCAGCATGAAAGTTCAAACTATTAATAGTAATCTGTCAACCAGTGAAACATGTGTTGCAAACAAACTCCAAATGCACCAGCCTTCCCTCATGTGGCGATGGAAAATGGAGTAGTGATGAAAACTGAAAGACAACTGAAGACTAAAGACAATTAAAGATACGGCGGCACCGCTCATCACGTTAATGGCATCAAATTTTCAATAGATGGCACTCTATCACAGTAAAACCTCAGAGAGCTCAGAGAATCAGGTAACGATTTTATTTAAACAGACAGGGTTTCCTTTAAGGTTAGGAGAGAAGAAGAGCATTTTGTTCTTTACTCGTATCATATCTAAGATGTTTTTACCCACGACTAAAACACTGACATCACAACAGTCACTTCTACTGTGATGCGAAAGAAGCTGCCAGATTTTTAGACAACGAGGCAGTCATTTTTGCCAGTCATCAGATTCGTCTCATCACGGTTGTCTTGCATTTATTGCTATGGTTACCAAGGTCACTTTAGGCTCCGGCGCTCTAAATATAAATGAGTGCAGTTAGTGTTTTCACTGCAGCAAGTAATGGAGGGTCACCTCCATCAGAGCTGCTGAGGTGGCAGTAAGAGCATAAAGGATCAATCAACAATAAGTTCAGTTATAAAATGTAGCTAAATTGATCAAGGTGCAAGTTGATCTCCGTCATGTTTTTACGTCTTAAAAACTGTGTTTTGCTCACAGAGAGAGAAAAAAAGAAGTAACTTTTGATAGTTTTTGCACTTTGGTTTACATTCATTACTTTTAGTTTATTTTGGCTTTTAAAGTGCCAAAGAAATGACAGATCATAAATCAGCTGGATATGAATAGGTGTACAGTTGAAAATATATAAAATAAAGTTGTAAAGCTCTTTTTATTGATAACAGGAGAAAACTTCATTTTATCAAGAAGATCTGTGACAAGGTAGAAACGACTAATAGGTTAATAAGGCTGATCACAGCAATAAATAATATTAATAAAAAGAAGGTATTTATTTTGTATTGTTAAGCTAATAACATTACACAAAAATATTGTGAATGTGAAAGAAAATAGCTGCCGAGTATCAGAAATAAACATTCTTAGATCAATTCCAGGTGAGTTACACATTTTTACTTGCTTTCAAATTTTTATTTGTAAAATAAATTTTAAAACATGTCCACTTTACAGTTGTTTAGTATTTTTGTGTAAGTCAGGCACATAAACTCTAAATAAATAATACTGTGACGTTTTTGTGGTTATAAGTAAAAACAAATAAATATGTGGAAATTTAAAATGTGTGTGTATCAGTTCACTACACCAAGTAAACCAGAATAAATAGAAATAAGCGCAATCCAATACTTCGCTATTTTGTTGAGCTTTAAATTCAACTTGCAGATATATTGTGGATCTCCTGAATTCTAGTGAGAGACTGTAGCAAGGTTTCCAATAAGCTACACATAAAAGCAAATTCATCTGCTTTTATGATGCCTAGTAGTGAACTGATCTATAAACCACCACAATATTCACAAGACTTCCCTTCATCAAGCTGGATTGGATTGCTTTTTTATTTGGTTGTATTTTAAAAACTGACACAATGCTAGTGTTTTGTGAGATTATGTTATTTCTTTCACAGTTCCATGATATTTATGAGTCAATCAGGGGAAATGAAAAGGAGTGCACATGCCCAAGCAGCTCAATGTAACATAATGGTACTTACAAACTGCCTCTTCTGGGAAGACTCAGCTCCTTCTGCAGACACAAAGAAAGATAATGCATAAGTAAATGAATCAAAACTTAGTTTTTTCTTGTCTGTATGTGGATTAAAAGACTGTAAAGAATAAGTGCAATAAAATGACACCCCATTTATCGAACCCTAAAGCATATCCAGAAGGCTTTGTTTTTCATAATCTACTTTAGAAATGTTGATTATTAAAGTTCAGCTCAATAACAGTTTAAAAATACTAATGGGAAACTCCTTCAAGATGGAATGACAGTCAAATTGTAGAAAATCAAGTGAATTTAAGGCTGAGTTTGTTTTGAACTCCATCTTTTTGTTGCAGAAACAGCTTCACCGTTTCACACCCAGGAAACTGGGAACAGTATTTACTCTGCCTCCATCTGTGTATGAACCTGTTTGATCCTTAATGCAACAGCTGAGGAAACATTATTGTTCTTACATGTTCACATAATAAACAATCCCACTTGGTTTAAATCCGGAGTGTATTTGTCAGATAAATGGTCAGATATGTGCCAGTGGTTCAACCTGCAAAATTAGGAGACATGTTTGAATTCATGCAGCTTTTCAAACCACTGAGAGATTGGTCTGCAGCTGCAGAATCACAAGATCGGGTCGAAAGCAGATCAGGAACCAACAATGCTCCCCTTGTTCTGCAGAAATTGCCCTTTCTCACAAGCTTGTTGCATAAAAGTGTAATACTATTAACCAACGGTGGCAACTAAAGCTCTAGTGAGTTGTTTTTCTTAAACTTAGTAAAGTACGAGTTATTCATCAGGAGAAATAAAATGCTAAATGGAACAACGTCCGAAAAATGTTTTTTAGCTGGTATCAGAAACCAAACTCATTTCTTAATAAATCTGTAATGCCCTGATCTTAGATATTGGGGTTGAATATTCAAATTGCTGCTGTTTTTTCATTTCAATCATGCATCACTAAATAAATTTCAAGTTTGGGTTTTCTGAGCTATTTGGAGCGTGCAGTAACGTTTTCTGCCTCTACGAACCTCTGCTGGTGCACTGTCAGCCAGCTGGCTGAAAGAAGGCTGCTTTATTTTTACCTCACTCATTAAAAGACAAATTACACCGTTTAGAAATACACTCAAAGATAATGTTAAAACTCGACAAGCTGCGAGTCTCTGATAAGCAGACGACTGCAAGCCAGCTGCTCGACACGTTAGACAAACTATTTGGATAACAAGAAATTATACATTAAATATGTTTAGCAGAAAATTGTTTCGGATGATTGCCGAGTTTGCTTAAGCCAATGCATCCATTTAACAACAGATGTTAGATTCTGTAACTAAGAACCAAAATCCTGTTCTTCAAGAGACACCGTCTATATTCTGTATTAAGAGCAACTTCTATATGTCTAAGTGCTGTTAAAGTGTTATTAATACTCTATGTTATAAAATACTAGGCCATGCCTATTCTCATTAGGAATGGTCATTATTAAAAACGACTTCAGAGACCAATCTAGATCTATAAAGAGAAATCTCAGCCCAGCTGGGAACTTTCTTTCAGCAAAAGGATTTCAGGATTTGGCTAAAATGTCACTGTGCTAAATGTGTAATTAGTTTAGACCATGTGAGTGACCAAGAGAAAGCACCATGAGGTCATTTTAAACTCAGTTCTTAATTTGTCTGTTCTTCAAATTACATTTGGATATGAAAAAAAAAAAAAAATCAGGCAGAAAGTGAAAGAAAAAGACATCCTGTTTCTCAGAGTCGCAGTAGTGTTGGGTTTGATACCTGCAACCTATTCAGCCAAAACACAGGTGATTTTCAGCTGGACAGAGTAAAGTCATTAAAGTGCATCACAGAACATATTTCTTTAGGATGCCAGACGACAAATACGTAAACCACATTACACTGCTAATGATACTGCGGCTGCTACAGCATCTGTTAGCATTCCAGCACGTCAAAGACGACATGAGTCACGAGGAGACAGTCACTCGAGCCATATGTTGATCTATAGAGTCCCTCCAGACTGCACACGTCTGCCTAGTTACAGCAGGATTTAGCAGTGAATGAAGAGTTTCTGCTGCCACAGCACCTCTCTGTGCCTTCTTTGGAGAAACAAATACCCAACGTCTGGAGCCGTTTACCTGGGAGACAACAAACGCCACCGATTAGATCAGTGTACACTGGTTTTCCCAACAACAGACTGAGATGAGCCGGCTCCTTTGTCTTGAGTGTTGTAGGACATGATGCCGTTTGTACAGTCAGCAAAAACAGCGATCTCCCTCTGGCATCAATTAGGACGTAACGTCTGACTCCTACTGCTTCCTGGATAAGACCAAGGGCAACTTATTGATATGCAGAAGACGCCTTGAGAGATGTAGTTCAATCACAGCAGTCCAGACCAGAGTGGCTGTTATGTGGTATAAATATATGTTACTGTGAAAATAATGTGCGAGGAAAATATTTACAGAAGGTTAGAGACATTCTGTAATAATTCCAGAGGTTTTTTTTTATTTTATTTTTTTATTTTTTTTTTTACCATTTTTAGAATAAGCAAAGCTTGTGAAAAGACAAACTTCCACTTGGCAAATGTAAGAACTAGATGGATGCATTTATCCAAATGGTTTTAAGTTTATGCATAGCAAAACTTTGAGCTTTCAGAAACTAACTACTTTCACAACAATGCAACTCTACTTTAAATTAAGCAAATATTAAAGCCCAGTGAGAAATTACTGATCTTGTTCTTGAAATGTCTTCTCTTTTAAAGCTTGCTGTTCGTTGAATTAATTTTCACATTTGACGTTCAGCAAGAACAACCCAACATAGCAACCTAAGAAATAAATTATAGATCAGCTCTGAATCTTTATTAAAAAACCCCTCAAACCTTGAAGATAACCATTTGTTTTTAACAATGCGATGGAGGCGATCGCCTGCACAGGGAACTGATCACTTCAACAACAACTCGCAAGCTGTGCAGCATGAAATCACAAGGCTGTTGCTCATCTCTAGGTGGGAAAACACAATCATCACCCGACTTCTTCATTAGAGCTGTGTGAGATTCGCTTGGCTTCATTGTGAAGAGAGACACCAGTTGCTGCTCTGCTGTACGAAATATGCTTTTTCCTCAAATTTCAAACATTAGCTTAGCTTAAAATAGCTTTAGATAAAGCAAGGGCCTGTAGTTAATTGGAACATTGGGAGCTAATTTCACAAACAATAAGATGTCACTAAAAATCTAAGCAGCTTGTTGAAGCAGTTTGTTGCTTTCACATTTAAAAGCAGCAAAAAGTGGGAAAACATTTATTTTTATTTTAAGGGTGCATTCACACCTGTTCAGTCCACATTAATCAAATTCAAGCTTATTTGCAGGGTTTGTTTGGGGAAGTGGGCCATCGAACTCTGATAACCAAAAAAGCCTAAAAACGAGGTCTCGGTTCGGTGAAGTGAACTCCAGCACGGAGTGGACTATATTGCAGGGCATTCTGGGTAAATACAGCCAAAACAAATGAGTATATATGGCGCTAGCAAGAGAAATGGCTCGTGGTCTTTTAGACCAGAAGAGAAAGTCTACATCAGCTTAAATTTGACGCTACTCCATTTTTTAAATATTTTACGAAAAAGGAAGTTGCGCTCCTTTTTTCGTCAGTGGCTTTCATGTTTTTTCCTTCAGTGGTTCTTGGTGGTGGTTATCACAAAACCCTAAGAGACCTTGTTGTTATACTGCTACCGCTAAATATAAGGTGAGGTAAAAGGCCTGTACTTAATCAAGTCAGAGAACTCAAAAGCGCTTTACGCTACAATGAGTCTTTCACCTATTTGCACACTGAGGGTGGTGACCTACACTGTAACCACAGATGCCCTGGGGCATCTTGACAGAAGTCCGCCCGAGGGTATAATCAATCGATGCCACCAGAACCTCTGACCACCACCAGCAAGCAAAGCAGATCAAGTGTCGTCCAACAACACAACCGCAAAGTGAGCAAGAAGTCAAGCTCGCCTCTTACAGCAACAAACCCTATTTTCTGAGCCACTGTGGTCTCTGTTGGAAAACTTCGGGCATGCAAACTTCAGCATTCTTAAAAGGTCAATATCATGTAGTTTGATTTTATTTTGCTGAATGTTTTCTTCTCCATCTTTCAGGTTTTTTTTTTAATCCGAGACCAGAATTTTACCATGAAAAATCTCCACAGCAGTCAACCCGCGTAAGCTCATTTCTTCCTTCTGTAGAGCAGATCCACTCTATGGACAGGTTATTGTCGAACTGGTGCAGTATTACATTCCTCACTCTGACCTTTTAAACTGTGTGCTGCTGTGGATGTTTCTGAAAGCGCCGTTATGACGCTGTGTTTACTGGCTTATGGGTTTTCCTGACAAACGGTGTGTTTTCCTGGCGGTGAATAAAATTGTCTTTACCCTGAAGCTGTAGCCTTTCCACATAGAGAGATGAGAAAGGAAAAATGCATCTAGAGAAGCAGAAATTCCTTCATCTAAGATGTTTGAAGGTACCTGCACATAGAAAAACCCTCCAGCTCTTTGGTCCTTGTCTGGATCTAGAAAACCTAGGAAGCCTCTATTTTACATTCACCCAGCAGCAATGGGAATGTGTGTCGTTTCTCTGCTTTAAATGATAGAAATAAGAGCATTTCTATGCCGTTTAGTTTTCCATTTTGTGTTAATTAAAATTTAAAACCTGATTGCAGTCTTTTCCCCCTCTATAAACCAAGGTGACTGCTGCGTTGCACGTTTTTTGCATTAAGTGTCATTTTCTCTTCAACAAAACTCCTTCAGTTACCTTTTCTTCCATTTGTCATTTGGTTACACTTGTGAGAAAGTGGCAGTGATTGTTACCATAGAAACTGGCTCTTAGCTCGCCAGGGGGCACGTTAAAAAAACTTGTTTTGGCTCTTTTTGTGTGAAAGTTTCTGTCTGAAAAATCTGAGACCAGAAACAATGGAACAGCAAGCAGCTAATCAGCTGCTTTGTGGTCACCTTATTTGTATCATTTCAATTCTCTGTTGCATGAATTCAACACTTGACTGTCTTTTTTTTCTC